TTTTTTGCAACCATAACTGAGTCATAGCAGGACTTGTTGTGCCTGTAGCAGTGGTTTATTAGACTGAAATAGAAGAGGCGTAAGGCCACGCTGAGAGKATTGTTTCTGTCTGTGCAGTGAAGTTATTTAATCTCACTGACACAGACCTTAATGCTCAGCCAATAGAAATACCCCTTTTCACCCTCCACTTCTGCTTCTGGAGCCATTCCTGAAACTTTTCACAGCCATAAGCAGGAAAGGATTTAGAGGTGCACTGAGCTGACACTTACGAGGCCGACTTTAATGGAAGCAGATGCCGAAAATGTGAGAAACAGAAGAGCTTAGAAGTAACAGTTAAATCTTGGCATCAAGCCWCAGGCGCTCGCTTGGTACTCACTTTTGTTTAAAGTCGAGTTGTTCTCAGTTTCCCCTGTGTGCGCCGACCGAAAAACTGACAAACAGCAGAAAAGCACCCTCATCGTCCACGTAGAATAACTTCTTCGTGGTTTCTGCTGTTGCATCAGCTTCTGGTTGTCACTGAACAAGACGCTCGCGGAGCTCTTCCCTGGGAGTGACGGGTTCGGCCACCCCTGCAGGTAGAGGTGGCTCCGAGTTCAGCCCCCCGCCCCCCGACACAAACGCGCCGCCGCCTCTGCCGCTGCCACTGAAAATGAGTGGAAACCCGAGGTGAAGAGCCTCTATGTCTGAGGTCGCTGAAAAATTTATGAGGCCATGAGGTGGCACAAATGTGTGCTGCATTATTGATAAGGACAGGCGTTTCTAAGACCTCCAGCCTGTTGAGTCCCCTGGCCTCAATGGAAAACGTTTCCTGTCCGTTTCGCTAAACTCATCTTTTTTTTCTCCCTCCCTCCACCYGTCCCACACCTTGTTTTCCCTCTTTTCCTTCATTTAGCGCGTGTGAAACATTTGAGGCTCCCTCATGGTTTACCCAGAACTCTGTGATGTCTTCGTTCTCACCTCGAACACACATCTGCACACCTCGTTTCCACAGCCTGAGACGCTGTCAGAGGACGATGAATTWATAAAACTCCTTCAACACATTCTGTGTTGTGCCAAACCACTGTCACAGAGAAAGTAAAACATCAATTAAGACCAATTCCATTTAAAAAAAACATTTTTGAAAACTTTTGTCTATCAATCATCCAGGATGGAGTAGAGACTCCTGTGGATTTCTCAACACATTTCAATTTGTTCAGTTAAGAAGAACAAACAAACACAAAGTATTAGATCCTCGACAGTTCTTCAAGAGGTCAGTGCTTCTCCTAAGGGTCATTATTATCAGTTTCGGCTGATGGCGCTGCCTTTTCTGGTGTCGTGGATTCATAACACAGTGAGCGTCATTCACAAAGCAATCCAATATGTTGAAGGTGGAGATAAGCTGTCAGGCTGTTCCTGCTATGAGAGCTACTCGGTTCAAATCAAAGTCATAAACCTCAATAAGCACGACAGCAGACCTCCCCGGTGAGATTCATCCTGATTACACAAATAGGACGGTCCATAAACACAGGGATATGATAACGCCACAAAGGCCCTGTCAACTCCAACACTGCCCCATATTCATTTTATCAACAACGCCGCTGTGTCTCTGCGTTGTCCTGGTTTCTGCCTCCGCGGAGCTGCAACATGATAAGGAGCTCTGAAATCCAGCTGGGAATCTAAAAATGATGCTATTGATGTGTTTGCCTTTTAAACTGTGGTTTTTGTGTAACCTTACGCCCTCCTCCCAGCGTTCTTTCATCAAACACACTCTGTAAGGGAGAATTTTTCTCTCTTTTTTTTTTTTTTTTTGTAGTTGAAATAATCTTTGATGGCACCACTTGCAGAGTCATCAAGCTGGAGAAGAGGTGCAGCTGTCCTGCCCTTGTCAAATCGTGATAAACTTGTTAATGACACATTCAGAGATGGGAGCCAGAGGCGCCGTAATGGAGCAGTTTGATAGTTTTGTTTACTCCAGTTTTATAGCCCAGTAAATCTGCAGCACTCTAACTCATCTAGTCTATATACATATGTGATATAAAAAACTTTTTATCTTTGAAATAGTTTAACTGGTTTACACAACCTTCCATATAAAGCGTACAAGTCCGCATTCTTCGTGTATTCATCACTATCTCTAAATTATCAATCCCAGTATTCCTAAAAGCAGTGAATCAGTATTAATGTATTCTTCTTGTTGATAGATGTCCCTGAATTGAACCCACTAGATTCCTTTTTTTTAATCTTTTTTTCCCCCTAATTTCTTTTTGTACATCAGGGAGAACACAACTGCTGTCTTTAGTTATGCAATTACTTGATAAGTAAGGACTAGACTTCCATTTAAGGCGCCTAAAGCCAACTCTTTGCTGCTGTTTATCACAGATAACAGACTCCATGCTGCTATGCAGGATTTTACCACAGGCCAATACAGACTAATGGGAAACCTATGAGTTTTGTATGTCATTATCCGAAATACAAACTAATAAATGTGAAAGCAATTGGAAAAAAAAATGTTGGTGGCTTTATTTTGCTGGAACAAAAATATATATGTTTTATTCATTCATCCATTCATTAAAACAAAAAATAAAATCTATTTGCATTTATAAAATGAAAGGAAGCAGAAAGAAGGAAAAAAACTTATTTGCCCTTATAATGAATAATACACCCACAAACAGCCCCTCACATGTATTTACTACAAATGTAGAGATTAACTGATTTGTACTGATTACACATAAATAAACACACAACATGAAAGCATCCATAGAGCCGCCATAAATAGATGTTTTAGGTCTTTGCACCACAAACATTCACCCCTTATAACCATTAGACGAAAGTCTGCAAAACTGAAATATAAACTGACTCTATTTGTAAATGTTTGCAAAATAATTATATTGTTCCTCTTCAGTTTTTAATCCAGAAGTTACATCTCTGACAAGCTAATACATGAAATAATGCCAAACAGGTGGGAATTCAGTTAGCTGAGAAAAAATTACTGTGCATTAAAATGCGGACATCCCATAATGTCTTTCAATATGTTCGAACCTAAAGCAATCGTAACTTGTTAGAAGCAATAACTGATGACGGAATGAGCTATTATGATATTGTGTTTCCTAAAGACAAATGATCCTAAGTGTGTTTTTACATGAGGAACATTTGTTGGGGATCCATTTCCTTTCATACAGCTGGTGCGTCACTTAGCAGCTAAAAAAAATAGTACATTTGTATTTGAAAGGAGGAGATTACTGGCAAGTTGTAAAATGTATCGATCGAAAGCTCCATGCACACAGGGAGCTTTTAATTTGCTGTGCAGTTATTGCCGTAGCTTAAGTGATTTATCCTGGGGGTTCATTAGTCTCATCCTTATGCACTGCGAGGGAAAACCCTGCGCCTTAAGCAGCCTGCTTTTTAGTCTGCCCCCCAGGTGACTCCAAAGTTATCAGAAGTAATCCAGCTTTTAGAGCATTGGTATGTACTGTAGAGGGCAGCTAATATGGGGATAAAAGAATAAAGGGTTTTTAATGAGAGGTGATCTGCAGGGGATCCTGTATATTGTAAGTTTTTACATGCCTGGGCTTTTTGTAAGCTTTATTTTCTGTCTTCCTTCCTCTGCAGGAGCAGCCAGGGCTTTATGCATATGAAGCTGTCGCGGACGAAGGAGAACAAGTACATCCTGGGCCAGAATAGCTGCCCTTTTGACAGCGTGCCAGAGATCATCCACTTCTACTCCAGCCGCAAGCTGCCCATCAAGGGTGCCGAACACATGTCCCTGCTGTACCCCGTAGCCATCAGGACACTATAGTGCCCCAGGTCATGTGCAGGCGCACAGCTCCTTCAGAACTCACTGGTGCCACCCTGGCGGCTCTACACTTCATGTTCCTCTGGGCAGAAAGACCCCCCCCCCCCCACCGCAGGAACATCAACAGTGGCATCCAAAACTGCTGATCCTGACTCACCTCGTCGGCCGCCAGATTCTACACCTGTTTTGAAGGCCACCTTTATACTCTCATACAGACAGACTTTATAACAAAATATTTTTAGTTTTTGTTTGTTGAATTTTTATTTTATTTATGATGAGCATCCATTTATTGCATCAGAGACTGACCTTGTRATGAGCATCATTTCAGTAACTTGACCTGAGAACCCATAGCACTTATCACTCAAATCAAAAGAGAGGTACAACATATCATTGGTCACTGGAATCAACCGTGTATCATAAACTATTGTACCTTTTTCCAATAAGTCAACCACTTCAAAACAGTTGGTGTGTCTCATTTTGATTGGCAGTGATGTTACAGTAATTATATTCCAAAGGGGACTTGAAGATTGTAAGGGAAGCAACATTTACGATGCATGTTGAGCTGTATTGTCCAGATGGGACTCGTACAGCGGCCGGGGTATTAAATAAATTGACCAAGTTTGACTGGTGCATCCCCAGCTGCGTGTGAACACTGGGCCTGTGAGCCGGGCAGACTGATCTCTCTATGTTGTCACAGCGCATGTTGTCCACTATCCATCACTGGGCGGTCGCATCACACCAGTGACAGTGGAAGTACCACAGTGGTGAGACAAGCAGGAAAAGCATGATAGATGGGTCAACCCGCCTGACACAGTACAATTGGCAGAAGCGGGAGTCCAGAGCCTGTCCAAATGGACCAAATTATCCCCACTACCCCTGTGTGGAATGGCTTTGCATCGGGAGAATGAAATATGCCTGCATTGTCTACCTCAGAAAATCAATTTCATTCCCCCATCTGCAGATCAATAGGTACAATGGAATTGCAGATATCGATCTGCTAGCCCCGCAACATTCCCTATCCCTTTAAAATTGTGTCATTGCTTTTAGGAATATATATATATATATAT